TGAGTACCATGACGTACCTGTAGGAGGACATCAGGACGTTGAACGAACAATAAATAGAATTCGACTACACTACAACTGGCTAGGATTAAACGAGATATTGTAACAATATATCTCAAAATATAAATATTGCCTAGAAAAATAAATTGCAACGACGCGCTAAAGCACCTTTAATACAGATACACCGACAAAAACAGATACACCGTTTGAGAAATGCGCGTCAAACATCATAGGAACTTTGCCTGTAACGACAACGGGAAACAAGTATATACTAACGTTTCAGGATAATTTAATCAAATTTAGTAAAGGTATTCCAATACCAAACCAAAAGGTTGCAACAATAGCCAAGGAATTCGTAACAAAAATAGTACTAGAATATGGTACTCCTGAGACAAGATACTAACGGATCAAGGAACAAACTTGATTAGCGAGTTTATTTAAAAATGTACAAACTCTTGAAAATACAGAAATTACAGACAACGGCTTATTACCCGGAAACGAATGGAGCTTTAGAAAGATCGCATTGGACACTGACAGAATACTTGCGACATTATATCAACGAAGACCAAACAGATTGGATAAGTGGATATCGATGTTCGCGTATAACACAATCCCACATATCGCCACCGGACTAACGTCGAGTTAGTCTACGGGTACCAAGCACCGTTACCTACGGCCCTAACTAACTCACCTAAATCTTCGTATACATACACGACGATTATGCGCAAGAGCTCCGCGAAAGAATACAAGCCGTGAATCAAATAGCAAAGAAAACGTCAAAGAAGAAAAACAAAAGACGAAAGAATGTTATGATAAAAAGACGAAGGCAAATCTATTTAACATAGAAGACAAAGTATTATATGATGAGACGGTACACAGAAGACGATCGAAGAAACTCAACGCATTATGGCTCGGACCTTATATGATTCTAGAAAAAATGGACAACATAAGCTATAAAATAAAGGCGGACTGCCAATAAACGTACACGAGAATCGAATAAAAGTGTTCGTTGAGAATTAAAAAAGATAGAATAAAAGTACATAATAAAAACTAAAAAAATGGAGACTTACCGACAAGGAAACAACAGAGTCAAAAGCAAATGATGGTCCCCGATAATAAAACTATATAACTAAAAATAAACAACTAAAACTAATACCCACTAAGAAACTACACCATTACACTTAAGAAATTAAAAACTAAGTGTCCGATCTTCCGGGAACTACTCGGCAGAGGCGAGCAACTCGTCCTCATCTAAATCATTGGCCGGCACATACCTTTCAAAGGGTCATCCCCCAAGTCATTCTCTGCATTTACAGAGGGAAAACAATTCAGCAGTTCGTATAGTTCGACAGACCACGGCAATTCGACAACTTCGGCACTCGGATCGTTCGGAAAATGGAGTCTGCATCAATTTGAAAAATACCATCATTGTAAAAGGTTTTTATAACGTACATCCACTCCCGCACGCGATCGAAAAACTCACGATTCGCGAAAGCGTTTAAAAAATTATCTAACTCCGGATCATTATCCTCAGGGATGATGAAACCCATTTTGAACGATACTGCGCGATCGGAGGAACCCATCTTAACGTAGTAAGGATACCTCATGACTGCCGATATGCAGTCATAGGACCCATTGCGAAAGACGAAATACTAGAGAGTTCACACGAAGTAACTAACACCAACATAATAAAAAAGATATACAAGCAAAAGCTATCGCTACAAAAGACACCACGAGAAACAACAAACGCTACAAAAAGCAAACTCAACAAATTTCCAAAGAAGACATTTTTTAATTAAGAAAACGAAATAACAATAAAGTAATGTTATTCCAGAGAATCCGATAAAAAAGAAACGTCTACCTTGGATATCGCAAAACTCTTCATGAAAAATAAAAAATTTTATTTTAACATTACAGAATAAATGTATGGATCATTCATGGGGTTATGGAGAAAGAAAAAAAACTATCATTGGAAATAGAGAATTTTAAACACCACCCTGGAGTACACTTCGAGGAAATAGGAAAACTGAATATAATCGAATCATTTTGAAAAATAGATATTTCTTATTATATAAGAAGATAGATATTTCACCAATCGAAAAATGAGCGGAGCAAATAGAAGAACATATATTTAAAACGCAAAACGTATGTACTATGTTAACATTTACAAATAAAGGGTCGTGTCACAACTATAATATTGGGTTGTC